GTAGGTCCCTTCCAAGAGCAGCGGCCAGGTTAACCTTATCAACTCTGACGGATTTGCTATTGAGACATGAGTAAATGGTAGTGTCATCAGCATAAATGCCTACTTGGAAATTGATGACATCAGGAAGATCATAGATGAAGATCTGAAAAAGTACGACCCACGATAGCGCCATGAGGAACCCACGCGTTTGTGTGAAAGGACCTGGAGGCGAGCCCGTTCAAAATGACTTTCATTTCATGATTTGATAGGAACGATTGGATTAAATCAAACAGTCGTCCAGTAATATCGTAGCCCTTGAGCTTGCGTAGAAGACCAGCGTGCCAAACCCTATCAAACGTCTTCGAAATATCAAGAGCTCCCGCTCGGGCTTCACCGTTACTATCAAGAACTTGATATACATATTCAGTGATGGTCGTTAGCTCATCAGTGGTAGATCTGGCAAAACGGAAGCTATATTGTTTGTCAGAGAGTAGGTAAGGAGGGGTAAGGTGCTTAACCACTTCAGCTTTGATTAAAGCCTCGAATACTTTGCCGAAAAGTGGGCGATAGTTTGAAGGGTCAAAATGTTTTCCGGCATTCTGAAAAAAACCGGAATTATAGTGGCGAACTTCCAACAAGGTGGAAAACAGGAAGCAGCGAGGCAATAACAGTAGAGTTTGGAGGGGACTGGGGCCAGCTCAAGGGCACATTTCTTTAGGCTGGGTTCCTGTTGTTCCCTTTTTGCCTTATGGGACTCTAATTTAGAAATTATGCCTCAGACAAGTTATACTTGTATGTTCTACTAGTATGTTGCGGATGGAGTTTGCTAAGTTTCCGTGTGTGTTTAGATATGTCCTGATTGAACTATGGTCAGATAGGTGCAACGTGTGTCGTCTATATAGGGATGTGGTTGTAAGACCAATGTAATTATTTATGAATTTGGTTTGATCGGGAACACAGTACATTGTTCTAGTTTCCTGTGCCATGGCTCTTCCGGATATCTCAGTTTCAATTTTAGTAGCTGGTGTGATCCAGTGACTTGGCTCAGAGAGATGTGAGTTCAATTTCTGACCACAGCATAGGTGAACACAAAACTTGAGGAGTTGATTGGCTCAGTGTAGTTTGGTTTGATTTGTTTTACTGCATATCAATCTCAATGGATTATTTAATGCCGACAAGATTTTTATGGATGGAAATATTGTTTTTCTTTCAAAAATGTATTACTAGTAATATTTTTCTCAAAATATGTAGTCCTGTTATTTTTTTTTCAAAAAAAATATACTGCTGGTAATACTTCTCTTTAAAAAAAAATGTACTGCTTGTAATAATGTCTTGCAGGGAATATTTTTATCTTCAAAAATGTACTGCTGATAATAATTTTTCCAAAAAGGTATTGCCGGTATTAAAACCTATTTTATACTTTTATAGTCTTTTGACCGCTTTTGGGAGGTTAAATATTTGCCCATATCTGGGACCCTGACAGGTGCTACCACCCTGAATCAGGGTGGATCTGGGAACACCAGCAATTAAGAGATGGTTTCACTCTCCTCAAAACCTCCTTATCAAATGCCTATCTGTCGAATGTACTTTAATGTCTTACCCAGGACGCGGATGTAGTTTATCGTCTTAGCCAAGACGCAGATGTAGTTTATCGTTATACCCAGGATGGTTGAGGAGCTGAGTTACGAAAGGGAAATAACTGAAATTGAAGCCGAATAATCCGGAAGCTGCATGACACAAGAAGTAGAACAATTCCTGAAGAAATGCCTGAACATATAACGGCCGAAACGTTGTGAATATCACAAGAAAGACGAGGAATCTAGTTCGAACAATGTAAATAGTGTAAACATATACAAAGATATCGAGAAAAAGGTATTTAAAAAATTAAAATTCCAGCGTTCCAACATTTTCAGTGCATAATCATAGCTAACGTTTGCGTTTTTTGTGTCTTTTCCACACCTTCTTATACTTCCGTCAACAAAAACATCACTTCCGTCCGAGGATGTCCTTCTTGAGAACGAAACGCGTTCAATTTTGCCTAATACGCTAAACAATCAATTATTCAATCAATTTACAGACAATCGTTATACAGATCATCTCTGCGTATACAACAAGGAAAATCAATACAAAATATTCTCTCTTGCGTTGGCTATAGTTTTTTTTTTTTTTTCTTTGATCAATCAATCAATCAAGACGCTCGCAAAGTCTAGCGTTCGCGGCAGTTGACACTCGCCACATCGATCGGTCAACAGTCAATAACTTTGATACGACTCGAGTTCATTTTCACTCGTTCAGAGTTCTTTTTCGAGTGTTCGTTGTCAGTGTCCGGCTGGCGTCGCCAGTGTTCTCAAGAAGGACGTCAAGGAGCTTCGAAATTGAAAACAGGCTTTCCTTGACTTCTTCGTCTGACATCTAGAAAATGAAAAGCATAGAAAGATTAGAAAAGCGACTGATATTCTTCGTCGGATGTGCGGCTGGTGTAATAAAGGAACGAGAACGAGTTACAGACAAGCTTCGTTACCTTCGCCTAAGCGCAAATAACCATGGGGAAAGGAGTGACTCTAGCTCCCCCCCCCACCCGCTTATGGGTTATATGGGACTTGTATATGGAAAAATCAATGTTATTCACAAGAAATTGTTAATGCAATATTCACTTTTACATTCCCAAATGCTTTTCGGATTTAAATAAACTACAACGGGTTAATAATACATAATGTACAGACTTGAGAGAGTCTCTATTCAGCCGACGGGTTGTTCGTTAGAGCCGTTTGGTATTGTTGGATTTTAAATCAGGGATTGCTATTTGTTCATATACAGTGTAACCCGGATATAAGAGAGTTGTCGGGACCGTAGAAGAAGTCTCTTATATCCAGGCTTCTCTTATATCCGGGTTTGGTCTATTTTATATACATTAACACAGGCTCTATTTTGGGACCAGAGAAAATATCTCTTATATCCGGGTTTCTCTTATATCCGGGTGACACTATATATATATGTATATATATATATATATATATATATATATATATATATATTTATTAAAGACACTTTTATGTTTTATAGATACAAGTATTTAAGTAAATGCTCTGTTTATAATAAACAGTATTAAATAACATTTACCGGCCTGAATGTCCGAGAAATTTTCATAGAAACAGGATTCGAACCTGCATCCTATACGGAACCGTCATTTACGCTGAAGTGCCTTGACCGCTCGGCCACAAAGGATCGTTCGGTTGGCATTACTGCTTATAAACTCAATTTCTCGGCCATATGGAATGGACAAACATGGTGGATAAATAGTAACAGGTTTATTGTAGAAACTACTACAGCAAGCAAGGAAGTAATAGTTATACGCACGGTCGTCGCAAGTCAGTGCAGTTGTGTGCGTGCTGCTATCGGAAGGCCGCTGGTTCTCGCAGATCCCAGCTCGATGCTATTTAGCAACTACCCCACGCAGTCACATGTGTCGCAAGGCTGAATTTAATATGGGGTTCGGCCAAAAAATCCCCGTAGACCCTGCAAAACGGGATCGGGTCTGTCTACCACCCCGGACGAGACTCTACCCTTCAGCATAGCCTCGTTCGGCAGAGAGTTCGACCAGAACATCTGAGAAAGTTACCAGCTCGACGCTATTTAGCAACTGCCCCACGCAGTCGCATGTGGCACAAGGCCGAATTTAATGTGGGGTTCCCGAGCCCGTAGGCTCGACCAAATATCCCCGTAGACCCCGCAAAACGGGATCGGGTCTGTCTACCTTTCGAGACTCCGCCCCTCGGCACAGCCCCGTCCGGACTCCTCCCCACCCGAAGACAGAGAGCCAGACCAACACAGCTGGGAAAGATTCCCTGTCCGCTGTCCTAACGGATACTTATAGGCGGTTACCACCTATAGTGCCGCCACTCATGGGGGTGTCAGGTTATTCCATTACATCATTTTTGCTTGCATTACAGTGTATGATTTGTTGGCAAAATAGGCCTCCACGCAAAATGTCTTTTGTTTGGTTGACCAAGACATAATAGGGAAGATTATTGTTCCAATATTTCATTCATAAAGTCAACTAATATACCCTGAAAGAGAAAAGAAGAAAAATTAATATTAACAGTTTTATTCAAAAATTTGTAAGGTCTGATTTTATTTTTTTATGGGGGGGGGGCACACTGTATTTCTCGTGTAAATAATGATAGCTCCTCGTCTCAGAAATACAGACAGGATTTGACGTCTCCTATTTGCAGCACTCATCTTGTGCTGCCCCTTTTACTGTCGACCATATATGATGTCATCTCGCTTTCATCTGTGAGGAAATTGTCCAACATTCACTGTCACGTAGTAAAATCATCTCTTCTTTGTTTCTAACGAATATTTCCAGTCTCTTAATACTTCGTTTTATTTTTAGAAGGAATTTTTCGCTATTTTCGATACGGCTTCGGATTTCGGTGTCACATTTCGCGCCGTCCGTTGAAACCACTTCCCAGATTGTTCCAGTTCTGGACTTGCTGTGATTCTTACGCCTCGACGTTTGTAGGAATTTTGTAAAGACAAATAAAGATATAAGTAAATAAAAGCAGACGATTTATTCTATTATTTTTTTCTAATGCTTTTTCTTCATTTTTGTTTCTTTTCAGCAAACGCCCTCATTTGTTACCACTGTTCCAACAAGGAACAGAAAGGATGCGCAGAGGATTTCCACTCTTATCTTTTTGAAGGCACAAAATGTCGCGGGGCTGATGCGAAATGCGCACTTCAACGTAACCCTCCTCTGAACGGTAAGTGACCACTTTTCCATGCAATGGTAAGTCTTCCAGTGTTTCATAACTACATTACAATTTTCTTCATTTGTAAAAGTCGTGTTCATTGCGTCATTGGAAGCAAATATGTTGGTAAAGTCGAAATGACTATTGATTAGAAAAGCAAAAGAAGAACCAACAATTTCCAATAATTATCTTTCACGGGTTGTTGAACTCTAGTCTTTTCATTGGATTTTCGTACCTGTACGTAATTTTTCGGGGGCTTACGAATATGTTTTAGCTCAATAAAAGAAAGAAAGAAAGAAAGAAAGAAAGAAAGAAAGAAAGTAAGAAGGGGAAAGGGATAAACTTAAAAGAAAGGAAGCACAATGAAAAGAAAGAAAGAAAGAAAGAAAGAAAGAAAGAAAGAAAAGCGAGGAAACGATAAACATGAAAGAAAGAAGGAAAATTAAAAGAAAGAAACAAAAAAGTACGACGATTTAAAAAATAAACAAAGAACAATGAAAGAGAAAGAAAAGGAAAGGAATTAACTAAAAAGAAAGAAAGAAAGAATGAAAGAAAGAAAGGATAAACAAACAAACAAACAAAGGATGAAAGAGAGAAAGAAAGGCAAAAGAAAAACAGTGAGAGGAAGAAAGGGGGAAAGAAACAAAAATGAACAAGAGAATAAAGACAGAAAGAAAAGAAAGAAGGACGAAAGAAAGAAAGAAAGAAAGAAAGAAAGAAAGAAAGAAAGAAAGAAAGAAAGAAAGAACAGGGGAAAATGAAACAATGATGTAAAAAAAGAAAATACAAGGAAAGAAAGATAGAAAGAAAAACGTAAGGGAAAGGGAAAATGAAAGGGAAATGCTTGAACGAAAGAAAGAAAGAAAGAAAGAAAGAAAGAAAGAAAGAACAACTAGGCGGAGAAAGAAAGAAAGAAAGAAAGAAAGAAAGAAAAATGAAAGTAAAAAAGAAAAAAGGAAGGTAGAAAGAAAGAAGTACAAGAAAATAAATGGAAAGAAAGAAAGAAACGTATAAAGAAAGCAT